GCCAGCACCTGAGTCTGCCTGGCACAGCCCTCACCAAGCACCGGGAAGAACCCAGTGTTGGCGCTGGCCTCAGCTGTAAGCAGAAGACTGCTGTCATCCCACATGCAGATCTGTGGGCCCGTGCCCACTGGGATGGCTGTGGAGCAGGCCCCCAGATCTGTGTGCAGGATGACAGCATGCTACCACTGCCAGCAAGAGATGCTAGTTTTGCTTTGAACAGTTTGAGGTGGAGTTTCCCAGAAACCCCTAAACCTATCTCCTTGAAACCTGGCAGGCTTCATGGCCTCATCAGGGGCTACCGTCCCTGCAGTTTTTATCCTTCTCTGCCTTCACACTCACACACATCATCAGTTTTGCTTTGAAAAGTTTGAGGTGCAGTTTGCCAGAAACCCCTGCACCTCTCTCCTTGAGGCTTGGCAGGCTTCATGGCCTCAGAAGGGGCTAGCAACCCTGCAAGTTTCATCTGAATCAGCCACAAAATGACAAAGTTATAGGCATTTTTGTGATTCCCCATTATAGCCTATGGCCCAAACACCAAAACACCATTGACATTTCAAAACAGCTCTGAAACAGTTTTGGCCAAAATGACAGGACAGTGATTCAAAACACTGAAATGAATCACTGTCTCTCCAAAACACCGAATCTGAAATGAAATGAAACACAGATGTTTTGGACAGCCCTGTGAAACACCAAAATGAAACACTGTCCTTCTGAAACTGAATCCAAAACCAAAATGAAACGCAAGCATTTCGCACAGTCCTGTGTGTATATATAGATGGAGATATGGAATTATACATATATTTATATAATTCTATGATTTTACTCCTCTCTTTTAGCTGACATTCTATTCTTCTTGCTCCTTGTTTTGTAAACTGTGTGACACATGCCACCACCTAATACCTAAGCAATAACTGAGTTTCCCTTTTCCAAAAGGGAGAGCTGCTTGGAGAAACTGCACAGCCCCCTCCCCCGCCACTAGTAAATTGGCATGTCTACATGTGTATTTCCTAATTTTTAGTTTGTGGGTTACCCTGAAGGAAATACAGTCATCAGGAGAAATTGGAGATTAGGTGTTATTTCAGTTCACATGTTATTACATTCTCCTTGACTTTACTAAGGAATGGTATTATGCCAGAAGATGGTAATGATTGCCATCAACCCTGCCTTTCATTTGGTGGAAATCCCATCTGATCACCGTGTTAGGCAACCTTCATTCATGCTAAGTAGAACAAGCAACTAAGCTGGTTTATGGAATAAACAGGCTGAAACAACAGAAGCCACCACTCATGGTGTTGTGCAACATGAGCAGGCCTGAGCAAGAAATAACCTGGTGAGAATAAGAGCATTCTCCTTTAGAAATGA